CCCCCCCACCCCTACTGTCAGGTCAACAGTCTCCCTATGCACTAATTCTTAAAAAATTTACTAGTAGGCCGATATTTCAGGTGGCCTTTCTTTCCTTACCTTCCATTCCCTCTGCCCATCATTTCCTCTGTTCACTATTAAGAAACATTCTCTTTTGCTATCCAGGAAAGTTTCTAGCCGCATTGCTTGGTTTTCTTATAAATATTTAATAGAAATTATTACTGGGAAGTATTCTCCTGTCCCAGACAAGACAGAGAAACTTTCAAGCTTAGTGCTATTTTCAAGCTCAGCAGGGAGACAGCCAGGTATGGAAGAACCCTCTAATTTAGCAAGGCGGGTCTGCCTTCAGAGAATTGGGTCCTTTTGTCTGAGCAGAGACCACAAGCTCGCTTCTCAACCCAAGAGACGCCTCTTGTCTGAAACCTAAATCTCTGCTCCACTTACACGTTGAACAGTTGGCAGCAGTGGCTCTACCTCATGCCTGACAGTACTGCTGCATCTATGGGTAGAGCATGAAAGACCATCAACCGGGGTCTCTTTGGTTGAATATTTACTCCTGTCACATTCATGGTGGTACCAGTGTCTCTCCCGGACTGCAGGATTTTGCAACTCCAGTATTGCCCTCAGTGATGACATCAGATTCTTCACCTTTAACTCCAAGCCCCTATATACATCCTGGGAGCGAACGTCTTTATCCAAAGACCGCATTTCCTAAGGAATAAGGTTAAAATAGTTGCAATAATTACTTGTCATTAACAGGCACCTTGTTGATCGCTTTAAGAAAAATTTAGGAGGTTTGTCAGAAAACTCTACTTTCCTGTTTCATATGCAGATGTGTGGGACAATTGTAGGCAGAACAAGTCTAGGGAAGATTTTATTGGGGTCATTGGTTTATGTGGCAGATAAAGCAAAGGCTCTGGAAATGTACTTTCCAGTATGTCGCTTATAGTAATGGAACTGTATTAACACTGCATTTACACAGTAATTTTATGATTATAAAATATGATTGGATCAGAGCCGTTTACTTCATCACAGCCCTGATGATTTAAGTCTAATTTTCTTATTAATTATTTCACTGCAGATGAAAGTATCCATAATTTAATATATTCCAAACCACCATTCAGAGGGGTGAGGGAGACTCATATGCACACCAGAGCATGATGAACATGACACAAGTGATCAGCTCACGGGCAGCGATCAGCATCATCTCTGTTCCATGACCTGGCATATGTGCCACAGTGAATGATGCAAAAGCAGAAGGGGAATGCTGTTATCTCAAGTCTCTCCTCGCTTTTACCACCCCCATCACAAAATATGACCCCCGGTATCATAACGGGCTAAGTGGAGTCACATTGTTTTGAAGCAGTTTAAGCCAAGACATCTGCTGTAAGTCTGATTCTTCCCTTCTACTAACTGGGCATGCAATTAAACTTATTTATTCCTGATTGAAACGAATGTGTAAAGAAGAAACTTTATACCCATTAGGTTCAAGACTTACTTCCTTCCATACTCAACTACTATGCTGTCTATGAACCACAGCTATTCCTCTAGTGTCCTGCAAATAGTCTGGGGGCCTTTGTTGCTATTTTTGCTTCATAATTCCCTTGTCCCATTGCAACTGTCTTCTGCAGGGCTACTATAAACAAAATTTTGCAGATACTTCAAGCAAAGAAAGTGTCCTCCCTTTAAAAATGAGCATCTTTGCTGCAACTCCCAACACTCTGGAGCTATGTCTAAGAGCAGAGCACATAAACATCTGCAAATTCCACCTGTCTCTAAAAATAATGACTTTCATCTGGTAGAGCCTGTCATAAAATCCTATCCCCTTTATTCTTTCACATATTGCCTCAATTCAGAGAAGCAACAGCACGGTTTGACCACGTACCTCCACAGGGGCTGGAAACTCAGTCAGCAGAATAAAGTTTTAAAGGAAAGCCCCCAAAACAAAACATGTTCCAGAACATTCAGTTCGGATGCGAGCAACAAATCTACTGGAACATCAAAGTGGGTGGGAAGAGTGAGGAAGGGGTGGCACCGAGACAGATAAATTACAGAAAGAGACAGCTATGGAACCTGCCTTGGCAAACCTTCCGAGCTCCACATCCATCTGTTCCACATTAATCTGTCTCCACTGGGTTTTAGCCCAATGATCAATGCTGCTCTGAAACAGAAAGTACAGATAAAAGTGTCAACAACATTTGGTAAAGACAAGCTTCTGCTATGTAACAGATAAATGGATGCAGGGGGAAAGTTGATCACCAGCAATAGCTCTTGGACCTTATTTTTTCCAACCCTACACCACCACTACCTAGAAAGCATGCAAAATAATCCATCTTCTCAAAATTCAACCCCAAACCCAAGCATTTAAATAATTTTATACTTCAGTTTCTTATAGGTATACATATATACCTTTCTTGCACTATTAAATACGCACCTATATCCACTGATAATACACAGATGTACCTCGGAAATGTGGCAGAAACTGCCCTGCACCCCCTCCAGGCTAGGCAACGCTAGGCAAACAATTATGGAAAGAAAAGCTAGTACGTATATTTTTAACCTTGCCTATGAAAAACAACTTCTTGAGGTAAACAGAACTTTACAAGGGTTATTTCCCATACAGTCCTGTACACTGACTTTTCTGGACTCTTGCTTCTAGCCTTCTACAGCTTTCTAATGTACAATCCTCAGTTCTGAAGTGGAATTTGCTGGCTTTCTGAATTTTACTCAATGATTATAATTATTCAAGCAAGTTATTGGTGTTAAAAAAAGCTCTGAATGAAACTACAAAGGTTGTTTTGCTTTAGGATTATCTTGAAATTGGTTAACTTGAGAACAGAGATATTTTTACTCTAGGTATCCTAAAACATAGGAACTATAATTTCAAAAAGAAAAGGAATATGAAAATCTTCATTATTTTAAGCTTTTTTTTCTTTTTAAATCAAAACTATAATACTTCTAGGATCAAATTAAAAATATAACATTCAAAATATATTCTAACTTTTTAATTATTTAAAAAAAAAAAATAATCTTACATCAATAAAAGCACTAATATCCTAAACTTTCTTGAGCAACCGCACTTCTTTGTCTGGAATAGCTACTTCAAATAGTTTTGCAGATTCCTGCATTAGTAACATTTCTTTTTCCAACATCTCAGGTTCTTGATTTGCCTTGAAGAGGAAAAGAGCACTCAATAAAGTACAGTTATAGGGTATTTTGAGCTTACTTAAACCTGTCAGTGAAATCTAGAGATCCTGTACGCATGATTCAATATAAGAAAAGCTGAGAGCAATTATTGCAAAGAGGTTAAAAAGTTGCTTTTGCATTGTCTCTGAAAGCACCCAAAAGGCATACAAAGGGCTCTACATTTGATCCATAAAAAGAAAAGCTGCATAGAAAACTGTTAGTTTATACTCTTGTAATAAATCTCTTAATATATTAAACCACTTCTCCTTAATTTAAAGTTGTATAAATTCTAACAAAGTCCCTTCACAATGTTTTAAAAAGGTCCACTAAATCTTCAAGATTTAGCGTATTCAAGAGCACATTATGCTGATGTTTTAAAAGAACATGAATAAAGAATATGAGCAAGTATTCTGAGATTTTTTTATTTTAATCAGTGAGCATATGCAACATTGGAAAAGAAACAAGAGAAATCTAAATTTGGTGGTGCTAGAATTATACCAGCTTCTTGAAAAAAAAAAAACAAACCCAAACCACAAAAACCAACAACAAAAAAAACCATAAAAAACCCCA